GTCTCCTGTTATAACTAAGGAAGACCTAAAATGTAGTGTATGTGTATGCCTAGTGTAGCAAGGGAGAAGGGTCCTACTAAAGCATCAGGCATCTTTTAACACAGGTGGTGGTTGGACACTGGAGATAGGTTGTTATTAGAAAAGAAAGAGCTAGCCATGGAAGCAGATGCAGAAATCTACAGCCAACCATTGGGACAAGCTCCTAGAGTAAAATCGAAGAGAGGGAGGAGTGATAATATGAACAAAGAAGTCAAGACCATGATGGGGAAACCCACAGAATCAGCTGACCCGAGCAAGTGAGAGGTCAGTGACTCAGGTCTGACAAATGGAAAACCTTCATTAGTATAGGTTCTCTTTGGTATAGGTAACAATAATGTGACTGGGACAACATATGAGGCCACTGGCAGTGGGTCCAAGATCTCATCTAATGTACAAACTGACTTAGTGGAGCCCATTCTACATGGAAAGATACCTTGTTCAGCCTAGACACAGGAGTGTGTGGGGTGGAGGAGAGGTGCCTTGGTCCTGCCTCAACGAGATAATGGGACAGACTTAGAAGACTTCCTTACCCTCTCCAAGGAGCAGATGGGAGATGAGGGGAAGCAGGAGGAGAGGAGGGAGGGGGAACTGGGATTGGAATGTAAAAAAATAAATTAATAAAAAGAGCTATACCATCTCTAGGTATATATCCTAATTAAGTAAAAAGTCTATGTATTGAAAAGTTATTTGCACAGCCCTATTCACAATAACCAAGGCAGAGAATCAATATCTGTCCATCTGTGGCAGAGTAGACCAGCCATTGACCAACATAATCCTACTGGACCCTGAACAGACAACCTGGGTAGTGTGTTAAATGAAATAAACGAGGCACAAAGCTGGGCAGTGGTGGTGCAGGTGAATCTCTGTGAGTTGGAGTCCAGCCTAGTCTACAGAACAATTTCCAGGTCAGTCAAGGCTACATAGAAAACCCTGTTGGGGGGGTGTGAGGGGGGGGACACATATATGAACTCCAAAGCCATTAAACTCAAGCAAAGCAGTGAGGGGAGGTGGGCTGTTTCAATCAAGGGCACAGAGACTGGCGTCCTGGTTTCAACAGCAACCTGCAGTGGTGGCCATATGGAGGAAACCCCGGAGCAGCTGCTGCCTCCGTGGAAAGTCAGGTTGATCCCAGAACCGAGGCTATGGGAGAACTATCTGGGGGCCAGAAGATGTGAGTTAACAATAGGACACTTCACCCTAGCAGTGAGAGCAGAGGCCAGGCCCTTGTCAGGGGCAGGCACTGAGGGAGCACCTCCACAACGCAGCCCCATCCCACCTCCTCCGGCAGCCTTGCTAGCAGCAAGCAGCGTGATGGCCACTGGCAGGCAAGACCAAGTATGTGGCTAGGAAGAGGGCACGTGAGAAAGTTCGGTTCAGGTTAGCTGTAAACAAAACTCTCTTGCCTGGCATCCTTCCCACTGCACACTCGCCCTGAAACTGGGAGAGAACGGCTTTGGAGTCTGACAAACCCAGTCCCAGGAGAGAGACCCTCGTGACTGCAAGGCCAGCAAAACTTTACATTCTCCTGGGAGGGGATGAGGACAGGCTAGGGCCTGGGACCTCTTGTCATCCTCCATCAGTTGCCGCTCTGCAATTTGCCGAGAACACAGAAGGGAAAGTCATTTCTGGTCAACCACGAGGTCTATAAAAGAAGAGGTGGGTGCTGCCTGAGGCGTGGAACTCAGGCCAAAGAGTGAGCAAGCTGGGTGGGGAGGCTGCAGGCAGGTTGCTCCTCACTGCCCTTAGAAATGGCAGGCTTGATTTGAAATGGCTGCCCTTCCTTATAAACCCCACCTTGTGGAAGGTGTGCCTCCCGAGACCCTCTTCTCGGAATGGCTGTCCAAGTTCTCAAAGTTGTCTTTGGAAACCGTTCAAATTTGGGTATTTCTTTTTTCCATACTAAAAATGCGTAAGCTTGAGACTTAGCAGGTGTCCCATTAAGGTCCTTCTCGTGTTCACCTCTCTCAGCTCAGCATGGGATTTTGAATATTCTAAACAGCCAGAGGTGTTTCTTTCTTTTTTTAAAGTAAGTTGACAGTTATCTTTGAAATGTTAAAAGTAAGTGAAAATCTGAGAAGAGTGATTGTCCCTGGGGCTGAGCTTGGAGTTTATGTTATATACTCTGTACTATTTTAATTTGCTTCAATAAGTTTTTGTGAATATTTAAAAAGCAGACAGAGGCCAGACAGTGGTGGCACACGCCCGCCTTTAATCCCAGCACTTAGGAGGCAGAGACAGGTGGATCTCTATGAGTTGGAGGCCAGCCTGGTCTATAGAGTGAGTTCCAGGACAAAGATACCCAGAAAAACCCTGTCTTGAAAAATGAACAAACAAACAAACAAAAAAAGCAGGCCAAATCTCAGTTCTTCCCCTGAAACTTATGACCCAGGAAAAGCTGCAAATGTGAGAACTGTGTGGTGTGTGTGTGTGTGTGTGTGTGTGTGTGTGTGTGTGTGTGTGTGTCAGGAAAAGCCCCCAAGATAGCCAATTCCCCCAACCCTTAGATGAATATTGTCCTTGTGGCTTTGTCCTGTGATAAGGGACAAGCTGTGTTAAGAACCAAAAGCCCAATTTCTGTTTCCATGGTGGTGTGTTAAGAAATCCCAGAATGATGGGGAGCCTGGCCTGGTGGGTCAGGAGATCCAGGCAGCCCTCCCCTAATCACTCAGCAGTCTACGTTCTGGAACAACTCTAGACCTGGAAAGAGGTGGAAGAGCCAACTGTTGGTGGTGAGGGGTGGAGGTGGGGGGGAGGAAAGGTATGCATTCTCTAGAGGTGCTTTTAGAGGGAAAAGAACAAATTAACTGGCAGAAAGAAAGGACTGGTCTATCATGACCTATAGTCCTACGGACCAGGAACTAACTGTAAAATTTTTTTCACGCTTATAAAAAAGTATAAGCTGCTGGTCAGAATGTCCCCTGGCCATAGATTTTCCCACTGAACCATTCTGGGAATAAGACTAAACTGCTTCTCTAGCCTACAACAAACAGAGCCCCTGACTCCATCAACAGGGGATCCTGGAGAGCTGGATAGAATGTGACGCCCTCCTGTGGGACTAGCTGGTTAGGAACTAGTCATCTCTTCCTTGTTTATGAAGTATGCCTATCAACAAAGGGCAGTCTGTCCCACCATAAGGGCAATCTCAAGTTCCATGTGGGTTTACACAAACAGGATACATTAAAGCTCTACAAACCTTGCTGGTTTCCAGAAGGGAGTTCTGAAGGCTGGTCCACCTTCTGATGCTGCTCATTTCTTCTTAAGCCTGGGTCAACTGCTACCCTGGGCCCACCCGCATGGAGAGTCCTTGCACTGCATTGGCTGGAAGGGCATTGTGCACTTCTGAGTCTTTAGGTTCTGATCTGAATGTGTGTTATGTAGTCAGTCCTCCTCTCTTAGTTTACCTCTTCTTGTCAGGCAGAGCCTTAATCGTCCAACTTCATCAGGAAAGACAACCCGATGTAGGAGGAGGTGGCCAGGTGCCTTAGACTCTCGGTACAACCAAGGCACTGCAGAGCTCTGTATCATGCTCAGCTGCCCAGAGATAGCCACAATTCACAAAGATGCCACAGGCCCACAGTGCCTGCCCTGCCCTCCTTTTGCTCCATAGGTTCAGGCCATTTGTCCCTCAGACATCTGCAGCTGGGAGGAAAGAGAAGTCTGAAAGTTCATAGTCAACACTAGCCACCATCCCCACTCCAGCAGCCAGGAAAGCCTGGGAGAGAAGATTCCTGAGCTGGATCCAGAAGGAGGAGAAAGAGCTGATTCAGGAGACAAGGGTTTGGCCAGAGCCAGGTAAAGGCTCAGCAGAGCGTGTGGAAATTGCTCACCCGTTATCCCTCATAGGCTGGAGATCACCTGGCACCTCTTACCCTCAAGGCCTGGCGCTTGCTGAGGCACCCATACAATATTTTTAAAGGCACCCGATGCTTGCTCTGCCCCATAGAACGTGTGTCTTAGAGACCACAGACCGTTGCTAACACAAAAAGGAGCCCTAAGTATCCAGGCATCTATTTACCCAATCAAAAGGCAGTATGCCTCCCTCCCTTTTATTTTTATTTTTATTTTTTTTTTTATCTTGGCCCATACAACTCCTCTGCGGTGCAGGAAGTCCACCACAATCTGACCTACCATACTAGCCCAGTGCTCTACACAATCCTACCCACTCCCCATTCCATGTCTGCACAGCATTCTCTCCTCTTCGCACAGCAGTCTCTGGGGTTAAGCATAGTATTTTTTATGTCCTTGTGGTTTAGATCACACACCCAGCCTATGTCTAAGGGATGGGTGGCCTAGCCTCTTTCAAGTGTGACACACTCCCTTTCTCCTCCAGTCAGATTCTCCCCATGCCATGCTTACTTAGACTGATGTGTAGCACACTCTGTATCTAAGCACCTTGCCAAGTGTCTACCAGGGGCCTGGCCTGCTGTGTCCCCCTTACATAATCTGACAATGACACAAGGCCAGCTTGGAACAGATGACTTCTGGAGCATGTCCTCAGACGGCTCTGTATCCACCTCACATATGGACAGCAGACTCAGAGACATTTAATGACAGCAAGTTCAAGATAACACAGCTGATAAATGTGAAAGAAAGGATTCAAACCCAGGTTAGGCTGTCCCTAAGGCTTTGCTTTTGGTTTTATGGCCCCTTTGCCAGCCACAGTTACATGAAAGCAGGAAGATCTGCATTTGATGGAGTTATTGCTGACTCTAAAAGTTAACGTTCAACCCTGGACAGTGGCTTCCCCCTCTCCCTCCCGCACAAGAGTTTCCTTCTCTAAGCATTGAGGTCAACACCAGAACAGTTCTCAGGGCTAGACATTTACAGGTCTCTACAGCAAGTCACCTAATCCTCTGACTTCTTGAAGAGCTGGTTTATTATCCTGTTGGGAGGGGCCATCTTCTAGGCTGGGATGTCTTGCATGTGGGGAAACGCCTCTCCGCCTCTCTATAAATGTCTTCAGAGGCCAGAAGAAGGCCTTTTGAGGCACCGCTCCCTCCCTAGCTGTGAGACTCTAGCTACTTCACCATGAGACTTCTAGCCCTTTGCAGTCTGCTCTGCATGCTGCTTCTCTGCTTCTGCACCCTCTCCTCAGAAGGTAAGGCTGCCTGCCCTCTGGGCTCTGGTCCCTGAGGAGTGAGTCCATGACCTGGGGAGATTGCAAACAGGAAGTAGTGGGGAGCAGGTCCCAGAAGACAGTCCTGAACACTGGAAAGATCCACACAAGACCCATGGGGACTTCTTGTATGTGTGGTTCTACAGTCCCAAACATGCTGAGGACATACTGTAAAAAAAACTGAGGGTTTGGGCATGAGACGTATAAACTAAGGGTTTGGATACCGGATGTATAAACTGAAAGTTTTGGTTCATGTGTATATGCAGAAGACATGACTGCTCCAAGTTGTGGTGGAAAGGAAGGTTTTTATTGTAGATGTAGGGTAAGTACAGCCAGGGTCATCTGGAAGAGTCCACAGCAGGGAGAGGAAGTGGTAAACTGGACATGGCCAGCAGAATGGACTTGGCCAAGAGAGGAAAGGGGGAGGCAGAGAGTGAGAGAGGAAAACAGATGGCCCCTGACTGAAATGGCAGTGCTATGTGGACATGAGAAGCTGGGGAAGAGAAGCCTTGAGTTTGGGATAGGGGCAGCGTGAGAAGAGCCAGGGGCAGTTGTTACACTGAGAGAGGCTGGTGAACAGCATGTGCTTTTGAGTGCTAATAGACACCACCAACAGCCAACCCTCTTCTGAAAGTAATGAGGAAATGTCTCCTTTGGTTGAGGAAAGCACTCCACCCCATCAGAACTTGGGGGAGCGGAGTTCCCATTGTCACCTGACACTGTATGAAGCTGCATGCTCACCATGCAAACACAGATCCTCCGTGTAGCTACTCACATGAGCCTTGACTGGGAAGTCAGGTGGCCTCTGTTGCCACCTGTATTGTGTTGGGGACAAAGCAAATGAACAATTGGCTGTCAGAACTTGAGTATCTCAAATCCTTATGCACAGAAAGCTCCACGGGCAGATGAAATGAGGTCATGTATGATAAGGAGATATGTGTGTGGCATGCTGGTGTGTGTTCAGATGTGGGGGACATCCATGGTCTTTTTGTCTCTGAAAAGATGGATATTTATATCTGCCATCTTTAAGATTATTTTATTTATGTGTCTGTGTGTGGATATGCCACGTATGTACCAATGTCCTCAAGGGCCAGAAGAGGGTGCTGGATTCCCTGGTGTTGGAGTTATGGACGGTTGTGAGCCACTCGATGAGTTCCTGGAACCAAATTTGGGTGTGGCAATATTTTGTTTATGCCTCAAAATCAGAATGCAAAACTAGCCACAGCCATAGAGGCCAGGCAGTGGTGGTACACACCTTTAAACCCAGCAACCACACTAGTTAGCCATAGGAGGTGGGAGTGGGGGTGTATGCCTTTAATCCCAGCAGGAGAGAGGAATATAAGACAGGAGCTCAGTAGGTGTTCAGACTGCAGTCACACTGAGGACAAGATTGCCCCAGCCTTGTTAGAAGTAAGAGCTCTCTAGTGGTTGGCTGCTTTGCTCTGCTGGTCTTCAGCTTGAACTCCAGTATCTGTTTCTAGGTTTTTATCATTCATGTTACATTTGGGTCACCTGGAAGAGCAGTGAGAGTTCCTAAAGCCTGTGTCACCTCCCCACCCCCTTATTGCCTTTCTTTATTCTAAAAGCTGAGTGTCGGAGCCTTTTTCTCTTACTTAACCTCCAATTAATTTTTTTGTATCAACAGTTATGATAATTTTAACACTTAGTGGAGGAAGGTTTTTTTAAAACAAAACAAAACAAAAAACCCTCACCATATTACCTAATCACCCAAAATACTGATGGTTGACCTCAAGCCTGTACAGCATCATCTTTGATAAGCAGGGTTACAGGAAGCACTTGTTTTTTTTTTTTTTTTTTTTTTTTTTGTTTGTTTTTTTTTTTTTTTTTTTTTTTTTTTTTTTTGGTTGGTGGGTTGGTTGGTTTTGGTTGCTCAAATTTCTTCAGTGAATATATTAGATTTTTCAGCACAGCCTATAGAGTGCCATTTATCAGACTTCTATTTTTGGATGATTCAAGGTCACCAATACAATTCTAATGGAAAGTCATAAGCTTCCCCAATGTAGGACTGTATCTGGCAGCCTCAGGCTATGGTATTACTCAAAACACATGTGTGTCTATGACTTGTCAACCTGTCTGTGCTCATCCATGAATTCATATGCTTGGACACACTATATTAAGTATACAGTCACAAAAGCTTTGCGCATATAAAATGTTTTCTGTGTTTAGGATGTTTTTCTTAGACTACACATCTGGATTGCCAAGTCAGAATTAATATCTAAGAGCAAAGGCATTCCTCCTCAGTTCTATGCTTTTCTAAACAGCTTTATGAAGAGGAAACATTCTCATGGCACAGTGACCTCCAGCATTGTCTTTATCTCTGGATAAGCATCAGCTACGTCTTCTCTACTAAGCCAATTTCATCACGTTTTTGGTCTGTTTGTTTGCTTTGCTTTGCTTTATTTCTCGACACTGGGTTTCTCTGGGAAGCCCTGGCTATTTTCACTCTGTAGACCAATGTGGCTTCAAACTCAGAGATCTGCCTACCCCTGCCTCCCCAGTACTGGGACTAAAGGAGTGCACCACCACTGCCCAGCTTTTAACCAATGTTCTTAAACTCGGGTTCTCGTGAGTTGAAGCCTTCTCAAGTCATCCCTGTCCAGATTGGCCCAATGGTGGCCTTGGCCCACTAATTGGAGGATCTGCACCCTTTTACTTCTCAGGGAGAAGGCGTCATTTGAGGCCCCCAAGACTCGGGCCCTGCTGTAACCCGGTTCATAGATCCAAACTGACAACCCAAAAAGGTAAGTGACCTCAATCTGTCTGGGCTGGGAGTGGGAAGATTTCTAGGGTGACCATGGGAAAGATTTGTGATCAGCCCCAGCCAGCGTCTTGGGTGAAGTTGTTAGAGGTACCACATTCATTTTCAGACACACAGAGTTTCGAGTCCTCTGAAAAGGTAACAACTCAGCCATTTAAAACTGAACATTTTCTGCAAGAAAAAGCTCTTAAGAATGGTACAGGAACCAAGCGATTGATGGCACATAGCAATCCCAAAGTTAGAGAAGCTAACATGAGATAATGTTGAATCCCAATACTGGCAAGGGCTATACGATGAATGCAAGGCTCAAGGGCTGGGGATGCAGCTCAGTCCATGGACCAGTACTTGCCTAGAAAGCTGAGGGCCCTGGGCTCAACCCCCATTGGAAGAAAAAGAGAAGAGGAGAGATGTGTGGAAGCACCAATCCCTGGATGGGAGGCTTCATGGGAAAGACTGAAAACCTGGATGCAGATGGCAAAGAACAGGAAAATGGTACAGAGGAAACAGCAATCATGAAAGTGTGGTGCGAGCAAGCAGGAGGAACAGAGACAGGGGAGCTACAGGATGGGAGGTGCCCAGAGAATCTGAAAGCTATAGCCCACCTGTAGACCTGAAGCAGGACCTGCACAAGTGTGAGGAGTGTGGGGGTGCAGAGAACTCCCACTTAGTAAGAAAGACAGCACCCAAAGATGCAGACAGGTCTACTGAGGTTCAGTCTTGACACCAGCCTGGCCAAGATCAGCATGAGGCCTGAAAGAGCCAAGCTGCCCTCTTTCAGACCTGGGAGACCTAACAGTGGGCAGTGATGTAGACAGACGGGCCCAGGTCCAGACCTCTAAGCACGCAGAAGGTCCAGACCTCTAAGCACGCAGAAGGTCCAGACCTCTAAGCAGGCAGATCCCAGCCTGGTACTCCAGGTCAGCAGCAGCCTGAAACTCAGCATTGCTGGCCCAGGGTGGGTGGTTAGGATGGTGAAACTTTGTAACTTTGGTATAGAGAGTCCTAGAGCTTAGAGTAGCAGGCAGAGTCCTGTGGGAAGGCTAAACTCAGACCAAACATGACCTGACTTTAACTTAGGGCCTGCATCTCTGCTCTCTGCAGCTTGCATGCTAATTCTTGGGTGTCTGGGGCTATGATTCCCTGTTGTTGAAGGCTGTGGCACCTGAAGCCCACGACCAGCAACTAACAGTCCTGTCTTTCAAGGGCTGTGTCTTCTTCCTGTGACAAAAGAGGGAGACAGAATAAGGAAGACAGGATAGTTCCAACCTCTGTACCCCTGAGAGGCTGACAGCCCCTCCTCCACACTGCCATCACACCCAGTCAGGGATGGGTAAAAATAACCACTTCTCTCACACATACCTCGTGAATAACCAAGTGTGAGGCACCCGCCTAAGCAAGGTGGAGGGTGAGTAATGGCTGCCAATAGCTCTGCTTCCCATAGGAACTTGTGAAATAAGGTGCAAATGTAGGGGAGAGAGTCGCCAGCTCCCCACTGACAGAGGCTTGCTGGAACCTGTCCTCACCTCCAGCTCCTCCCTGTACAGATGCCCAGAGGCAGAAAAGAGAAACTTGAGGGAAGGAGGGGTACACACCACACACACACACACACACACCACACACACACACACACACATACACACACACACACAAAAAAACACATAAGCACATACACACAAATGCATATGCAAGTAATACATGCAATCACATGCACACCACATAATTATACACTACACACATAAACATACACACAACACACCATGTGCACACACACACAAATGCACATACATATATCACACATCTAGGGTCACAGACATACAAATATACATGAATACACCACCTGCTATATATATAGACACAAATACTATACACATATAGAACTAAATACATGCATATACACACATATGTATACAACTACATACAGATATGTATATCACATATACACAAACATATACCTACATGTCACACTCAGACTTAGGCACATAAATGTACATACAGACTATGTGTAGATAGGCATGTATAAACACATTTATCATACTCTACACACATCTCCTAGAAATGTGGAACACGGCCAGGTACACTCCCCATGTCCAATACAAAAGCAGCCTTTTGTTGAGCACATAGCACACAGTACTATGAGAGAATGAGCTAAGTCGTGGATCCTATAGTGAGACAGAATTTCCATTTGAACATATATTTCAAAAATTCCACTGCAGAATTCATGAGCAACTTAGAACAAGAAGACTTAAGCAGGCATCTTTACTGGACCTACTCCAGGGAGATCTTATCACAGTTATCTAGATTGGAGAGCTGAGGCTCTGAAGGCCCAAAAGGCAGGGCTCAACCCCAGGTCTGTGGATCTCTTGCACTGTAACAGACAGCCTCGTCTCTGCAGGGAAGTTTTCTGTAGAACGGGAGCACAAACCTTCTAGAAGGAAAGTGCCTTCAGGGAGGGCTCTCAGCTCCACCACCTGCTGGCTTTGTGCCCTTGAGCCTCTCCTCCTTCTCTGTAGAAAGTGTTTGGCTGCGGGATCCAGCTTGCTGCTATTGAGAAGTCGGTAGGATTGTGTCCACAGAGTATAAGGCATCAGGTCAAGCCCATGACACCCTGTAAATCTGTCTCAATGTCACAATGGAAGAGTCTGGGCTTCCAGGACAGCTGCATCTACCCATAAAGTCCATTTGTATTGTGTATATTTGTGGACGGAGTTGCATGGCACATAGGTGTTGTACATGTAGTGCTTGTATATGCATCTATGTATGTGTGTGTATGCGCGTGCACACACACACACAACACACACACACACACACACACACACACACACACACACACGTCTCTCCTTCCTCCAGCTTCTCTTTTTCTCCTGACTCTTCATTGCTGTTAATTACCCAATACCTAACCCAGAGAACATGTTTGCCCATGCTTAGTGTTTCCACCCAGCATCTCCCAGGACAGATCCTAAGATGCAGAGAGAAATAAAGAGAAGATAAATAAGGGTGTTGGGCAATCAACAGCAGGATTTCAGGTTGTCTCGTGTTCCTGTAATCTAGTCTCCTGTGTCTGGTTCACAGTATAAGAACACTGCTTCCAATTTCCATGAGAAAGGAAATTAGTGGCAGCTGAGACAACAGAGACACTCAGAGAGGCTGCAGCTCATCCTAAAATCTTTCCGGGGCTCTCTCTGCTTTGTGTCTACTCGCTGGGCTAGGCCCACAGAATGACCCAATGTGCAAGGCCTGGGATCTGGGTGCCAGTAATAAAACATCTTTGGAAATTAACAGGATAAATGAATAGTAGTCTGGCTGAAGTGACCTATTTACTAGAAGGAGATGGGACTGAGTTTTCTTAAAGCAGTTTTACAAACTGGAGAGGGATGTAGATGTTGATGTAGCAACTGTAGCTGCTGTCTAAGCAGCACCTTGAAAAGGAACATTTAATACACTAACACAGTTGGCTACAGAGGGGTTCAGACAATGACCTGAGTCAGACTCTTAGCTTCTTAGATCCCACCAGATCAAAGTTATGAGCTTGGAGCCTTTGTTAGGCCATCTTCCTTCCAGGTGTTACAAGGTCACCAGGAGAAGCTCCTGAGAGGCCATGTGGACCCCAAACAGGCCTAGGTCCTGAGGATTTGTGCCATACTCTCTTGACTCTCTCGATAAAATGAGTTAACTCACAAGGTCAGACTCAGGGTAGAAGTCTGCAGAGTCACCCCACCCCCACCCTCTGTTCAGTGGTCTCTGACTTTAAAAGGGGACTTAACTAGAGTGATAAATGTCACCCACTGGGGAAGAGGGGTCACTTGAGGGTTTCTCGATAGCAATACCAGGGAGGGCATACAACCTATAGGTCCAGAATGATAAACCCTAGGAAGGTCTGGCAGCCCTAACGCCAAAGGATCCAATCAGAGGAAATTATTTCTGAACCTTGTAATTCTATTCATTAGCCTTGGCTATACCAGAAGCTGTCCTCACCTTGGGAAACCAAAGCAGTAAGTATAGTTTTCAGTGAGTTTGCATTTCAGATAAGCATGTCTTTCCTCAGAGCCAATCACATTCATTTGTTTGTTTATGTGCTTGGTTGCATGTTTGTGACAGTGTAATGGGGTCTTATTTGTGATGACCACATGAGGTTGAGGATGAATAAAGTAATTACATTTCAGTTTTCAGTAGTATTTACTCCCACTAACACTTTTAGTCCTTGCAATATTAGCTACTATTAAGGGTTCTTTTTTTTTTTTTTTAATGGGTGAGGGGTTAAACAACAGAGAAGTTTCAAATTTGTTGAAGGTCTAGACAGCTTTAGCCTGGTGAGTGTTAACAGGCTTTGAATCGAAGCACTTCAGCCTCACATTCCATGCCATTAACTCCCATACCACAATGCAGATAGGAATAAACTTGAAACACAAAGAAAAATAAGCTCATCACCAATAACCCTTTCCATTCTCACTCAGATAGCACTTGCTTGGCATTACTTTAATTAATGCCAGGGAGGGTCCTTTAGGTTCCAGAGAGGGCAGTAAGAGCCACTTATTTGATTTCTTTAAACTCTTATGTGTAAGAATGAGTCTTAATTGTGTCTTCCTTCTTCTCTTCACCCTGTTCCACCCACTTCACTTTGCCTTCCCATGCCCCTTCTTCTTCTGTGTTGGCAACCATCCCCAGGACACCACACAAGGCCCTGCAGATCATGCAGAATCAAGCCACCATCCAAGCCATGGGTGGTACCCGGCGCTCTCCCACAGGTATAGAGCTCCTGAAGCCTAGCTCCACCCAGAGACCTTCATGCCCAGCTGTGGGGACACCAGAGGCCTTGCCTTGGCCCCTGCCAACTTTCATGGCAACAGTGAACCGTCGCATTGGAAGGCTTCACTTCAGACATCCAGGAACATTACAGAATTCCAAGTCCTGGTTCCAACCTTATCACCAATCTTCAGAGTCACTATGATCCAAGCCCAGCCCACATGTCTTCATGGTTCCTCCAGAGTAAAAGTCAAAAAGATTCCTTTTGTGGAGGTTACAACTCCAGAGATTTCCAAGCTGACCAGAATGCCCATAGCAAGACCTCAGTGTAATCAGCCAGGACTACAACATCTCAGGCACCCACAGACAGCCCCAAATTCCTAGCATTTTACCAATGGTCTCTGAACCAACTCATGTAACTTCCTAATGTCCATCACCAGGAGATCACCAAAAATAATAAATAATAAATCATTATATACACTATGCATGAAACATCCTTGTCTGAGAAAGTAATGTGGTCTAAAATACAAAAGGCAGTATTAAAGGAAGTGTTTGGAAAAAACTTGGTGGTTACTCCATCACAGAATAATCTGACAGGATCCCACGCAACATGACATAGAACCTAGTCTTGCCCAGATTTCTCTGTAGCCTTGACAGTTCAATTTTCTGTAAAACAGAAATGACAGGAAGGGTCTACTTGACGGGTAGGGTTCCTGCAAAGTGCTAGGCATGGGAAGGCCCAGCAAATGCCTCACCCTGTAGGAAGGTTCATCTCCTCAGTGAGCAAAGATCTTAGGGGAGACAGGTGGTTCAGGCCTAAGAGGCTTGCCTCAGTAAAGCTTCCTCTAATTGGATCCTGCTAGCAAGGTGAGAAGCCCCTCTCCTGTATTACTCCTGGGCCTTAGTAAGAATACCAGAACCATGAGGTGTGAGACCGATAGGTGGAGCTTCCATAGTGACAACCATACCCAGACAAACCAGAGCCTGTGTCATGTCACTAGCCAACTTCCCACCTCCCTTTCATAGCTGTTCACTCAGTCACTCATCCATTCCCTCCTCCAATTACCCATTCCCATGGAGAACAGTGGTCAGACACTTCACTGAGTCACAGGTTCAAAGAACATGGTCCTCTGGCACCTGAGAGGCTGCCATTTTTGCACTGTAAGCACAAGGTGAAGAACTGAAGGTGATATGTGCAAGAGAAAAGCAAAGAGGATAAGTAGCCAAGGCATGAACTCAGAGAGAGAGAGTGAGAGAGTCCCAGTGAGAGAAGGATGTGCTGTGTATGGGAGAGGTGGTCCATGGGCTGTGGCTTGTATACTCCACTACTCATGAGTGTTAGTGTAAGTGTATATAGTACTTGTGGCCTTGTGTGTATTAGGATGATGTAGATGTAGGAAGATTTGAGAATTGGAGCAGAATTCATCCACTCCATAACTGTGTCGTGGGCTGGAAGAGAAGAAGTCATTTAGAAGGACCCAGAACATCCTTGGACTTGCCTGGAGCACAAGGAAGAATAAGAATAGATGGGAGCAGAAGAGAACACAGGTATAGCAGCAGCCAGAGTGAGCTGAGGTGGGGGAACACAGAAGGCAGGAACAGGCTTTCTAGAGCAGCAGTCGTGTGGTGTCATGCTCCCTGAGCTTCCTGGGCAGTGGACAATGTGTCCACAGTCCACTCATGGTACATTCAGACCTTCCTTCTCAGGAGATCTTTGTGTCTGAAACTTCTACCTTATTGGCAATGGGAGGGCTGGGAGCTTCTATCCCTTATCCTTACAGCCCCTCCATTCTCCCTTGAAAAAAGCAAGAACACATGGACTTGGGTCTACTCAGAGAAAGAAAGATAAAAGTCCAAGGACAAAGACCATCCCATCCTGGAAAAAGGCACAAGAAAGCACTTGATGGAAGCCTCAATATCCCTGAGGGGAAGGGAACAAGAGAGTTAACGTGAATAAGTTACAGAAGGACACAGCAAGTCCTTGGGGGTAGGGGATGGCAAGGGCTGCAGTATCCCATCGCAAAGCTACTTCCTGCAAAAGGGTACTATGGATGTCAGTCTTATAGGGATACCAGCCCCAGAGCAGCTCAGGTCATAAGGACTCAAAAAGCACCTATGATCTGGCCCCTGATTTCCCCCACCCCCATGTCCTTTCCCTAAAAATTAAAGGAAATCCTCTGTCTGGTTTCTAGCTGTAATTTAGCTCACTATCAGGCCTCACCAAGGCCCATCATCCCAGGAGGTGGATGCTGATCCCCACAGACCAAACATCTTCTTCCTCTTTCACTGATTTCCAACATCAGCACCATGGGCTTTTAAACATTCCCAGCAGTGAAGAGCTTTGTTCACAAAAAGCAGACAGGGAAATTACTGACTGTGGCTACTCAATGCTTGGGGAGAAAACCCAAACTTATAGAAGTGACTGTAAAGTAATAAGAATACAAGTCACACATTGTCTTTGGATCTGGGCATGCTTAGAAGGTAGAATAGAATAGAGTTATTAGAAAAAGTGTATGACTTCCATGGTAACTAAAAGAGTCCACGATCCTTGAAGTTGTGGGACACTTGGTGCAGTTAATAGAGCATCAACTTCTGAGACAGATTTGGGGATCAAGCAATGGTTCTGTTACACATACATTTATGTGATATTGGATGAGGTCAGGTGACTTGGCAGTTCCTCAGTATTCCCATCTGTTAAATGATGTAAATTATGCATCACATCTCCCAGATTATCTGTGTGCCAATCAATGGTCATCAGGAAGACAAGCCTTGATAGCATAGTGGGCACCTGCTGCTTCCTCAGCACTAGAGGGAGCCTGGGAAGACAGGTTTTCCTCCCTTGTGTGTGGTCATGATGGATACGTACATTTACACAGAGAGATAAGATAACATGTAGATGAGGAAATTCATATTCAGATGGTGTGTGTGTGAGTATATATAAATGGGAATGCAAACAGGAGTAGAACTCATATGATTGTAGATAGTTGTACAAACATGTATGAGAGAAAGGGACTGTGGTTAAGCATGCTCTACTACAACCTATTGGTTGTGACCCCTTTGGCAAACCTCCATCTCCAAAAATATTTACATTACGATTCACAGCAGCAGCAAAATTACAGTAGCAATGAAAATAATTTTTCGGTTGGGGGAGGGGTCACCACAACATGAGGAACTGTAGTAAAGGGCTGTGATAGGAGATGTCATTCTGTAAATATGTTTCTTTTATTGGTTAATGAATAAAGCCCTGTTGGCCAATAGGAAAGCAAGATAGGTGGGACTAAGAGACAAGGAGAATTCTAGGAGAGGTAGGAGGAGATTCAAAATGTAGGACCGAGGGAGCAGAACTCTGGACTCTCTCTCCAGAAACCTCCTTGTCGTCTAGTCCCACCTATCTTGCTTTCCTATTGGCCAACAGTGCTTTATTCATTAACCAATACAAACAACATATTTACAGAATGACATCTCCCATCAGGGTGTCAGCACTAGGAAGGTTGAGAACTACTGTTTTAGTAGATCAGATGAAAGTAAAGGTATGGACTTGTGTTGATGTGTTGGCAGAACTACCTGGAACACACATTCATGCCAGGCTGGCAATTGACATTCTAATTCTTATTTATCAACAATTAGGCCAGCTGCTGTAAATCCACCAGAGGAAGAGCTGTCAGTCCTGAATTAAAGTTGACCTAGTTTGGAAGGGCATACAAGGGTGATGGACATATGGTAGTCAGGGTAAGTGATTTATATGAAGCTGCCCTGGGCTACAGAGTAAGAATGAAGCCCTGAGTTCCAAAGCAGATGATTTTTCCCCAAGATGCATCAAATCAAGCCCTCCAGGAGCTTTTAGGCTCTCTACACTTTAAGGTCAAGATTATGGTACATAATCAGAGCCACCAGGAAGAACCACTGTTTCCAAGTGTTTTGAGGGCAGTTACATCTGGCTATCCCAGGTAATCCCCACTCCCACTCCTACCCCTGTTACCTGAGACTTTCCTGAGTTGAGTATTAAAAGTCTTGCATTCCTGGAAAACTTGGAAAACCCCAAGTCATAGGTAATTGCAGATGAATGGCAGCCCCTCTAGCAGATCTTGTACAACTTCTAAGGAGAAGAATATAGGTCTAAGAATGAAATTACAGCTCTGGAAGGACAGGTGAATAATGGAAGGGCCTGAAGTTTAAAGTTTCAGTAGCTTTGTGACTATGTACATAAATCACAGAGAGTTTCAACTTGAAAGCCAGCACAAACCAGGTATGACTCCAACCTCTGCCCTTCATTGGCTGGGTGAGCCTGTGTGATGGTTTGAATGAAAATAGTCCCTGTAGGCTCATAAGGAGTGGCACTTTTAAGAAATATGGCTTTGTTTGGAGTAGGTGTTGGGAGTGGACTTTGAGGTTTCAGAAGCTCAAGCGAGGCCCAGTGTCACTCTCTTCCTGCTGTCTGCCAATCCAGATGTGGAACTCTCAGCTCCTTCTCCAGCACTATGTCTGCCTTACATGCCACCATGGTGACAATGGACTAAACCTCTGAACTGTAAGTCAGTACCAATTAAATGTTTTCCTTTATAAGAGCTGCTGTGGTCATGGTGTCTCTTCACAGCAATAGAAATCCTAAGACAGCCTCGGTAAGTTTTTTCTCGACTTTAAAACTTTCTTCTATAAAGTGTGGACAATCACACCAGGAAGACTGTGCAAGTTAAATGAGACACACAATTGAGAGTGTGTGCACGCGCACACACACACAAACACCATACACACCACACCACACACACACACACACACACACACACACACACACACACACACACACGGGAGGCATGTGGCCTTACACATCTTCTCAGTCTCTCTCCAGTGCAATTTGAATGAGAAGTCAGAAGCCTGAAGGAGACTCTTAGGAGGAGATGGAGAACAAGATGCCGAGAGAGAATCACCTCTTCTCAGCACATCAGGCAGACATCTGCTTCAGGACTCCTTCAGTGTGAGAAATATCCAACAAACCTGTCTAGCAGCTCTGTCTGGGACCTGGCTTTGTCCTAGCATCTTGAAAAGCAAAGATTCAGAAGTACTTGTGTGACGTGCTGTGCCTACCCTCAGCCAAAGTCCCAGCAGAGTCCTTATGAAGGCCTTTGGGCAGACTTACCTAAAACTTGCTGCATTTCCTAGGTGTAGATTCAGCTCCTCCCTGCTGCTCTCTGAATTCCTGATCCTTGCTAAGAGTTGATCAGAGAGGTCTGGCCAAGGGTGCAGGTGCTCTGCTTCCTTGAAGTGCCCTAGAAAGAGCTGATGCTGAGAGCCCCAGGGTCTCCATTGTCTAAGGGCAAAGCATCCTATGGGCAGCTTTGAAGCAATCTGGTTTCAAGCCATCACTCAAGCTTTTTGCCTTACTCCTCATGCCAACTGATGAATGACCCATCTCGAAGAAGGGTACAGGGGTATCTCTGCTCACTGTCTAGTGTTAGAGAAGGAGGGTCCAAACCAGGAATGCTTCTGGGCTTTCCTGTATTCCCACTTCATTCTGATAGTATCTTCTCTGCTCTTGCTCTTTTAGTCTAACTCAAAGCTAAAGGGCCTGTTTGAATTCCCAAGGCAATACTGCTTTCCATTGCCCTTTCTTTTCTCTCAATGCTGACCTCTCGGGGCCCTTGATGAGGCTAGTCTCTTTTCCTGCTTACTATTTTATTTTCATGAATGCTTCGATCACAGAGGTCTGACCCTGAAAGCCACAAAACAAGTTAAATAAATCAGGAAAATTCCTATGCAGCCAAAGCCCCGTCAAGCCACCGGAAACTCCGAATTTCTTGTGGCTTGCTCAAGGTAGCCTGGGGCAGGAGAACAGTGCCTCTGCAAAGCTCCACCTCTTGCACCTGGTGATCCTGGGTTGCTAAGGCACAGAGGGCGTGGTAGGAGGGAGGCAGTGTTGTCACGCCTTCCCGTCCGCTTCTCTAAGCTGGTCCCAGTAATTGGTCTCATTAGTTGTCTGACCGGAGCCATCCAACTGTGCAGATCCGGAGCGCTGTCATCCGCTTAGCGCCCTCGCCCTCGCACCACCGGCACCACCCGCACCACCCGCACTCCCTCCCTGCCGCCGCCTTCACCCACATCGTCGCCTCTGCTTTCCTTCTTCGCCCAGGGCATGCTCCGAGGTTCAGCACCCGGCCTTGGCAGTGGCCAGGCTCTCCACCAGTCTGCGGAGACATGAGGCACGGCCCGAGGGCCGCCCTGGTCCTGGGGCTGCTGCGCATTTACCTGGGTGAGTGTCGAGGGCCCAAGAGGATGGGTGTTGGCGCTCCCTAAGGAAACACGGAGACTGAGGCTGCATTGTCCCGTTGCAGACCTCGGGAAGAGGGCAGCTTTCCACTTTTCCAGAGGCTGAGAGCCAGCATCCCTCCAGAATCCCAGCAGACTGGGACTTTGCCCCTAGATCTTTTGGCTCACTGGGGGGCTGCTCTGTTGGCTGCCCTGGCAAAGCAGCAAGCATGACCTTGACCCAGCACACTGCCCTCTGGGAACTCTTTGATGGGGGTGGGATTGCCTTTCCCCTTGAGTCAAGGTGCCTGCGATAAAATGTGTCCCTGGAAGGCTTGAGCCTAGCCCAAGCATACCCTCATCAGACACTCCAGGGAAGAACTCCTTGCAGGCTGGGAACACATGGGTGACTTTGTCTTGTGAAGCTCCCTCGAGGTGTCTGTTTTCATTTTTTCCTAGCCCAGGCCAACTTTGCCCCTCACTTCTTTGACAATGGAGTGGGCAGCACCAATGGAAACATGGCCCTGTTCAGCCTCCCAGAAGACACTCCTGTAGGTAAGAAAGTAGCCTTGGCTGCAGCCATCGCAGGTCTCCCAGAGGGAGTCTCCCCAGAGGGAAAAATTAGTGCTTTGAGCCTATGGCATGCCCATGCCACAGTATTGGTTCCCGTGGGTACTCTGTTTATTCTCTAAATGCCCCAAGGTAATGGCAGGGAAGGAGGTCACTGCTACCGTGGTGACCTAACCTGGACCCCTCCAGGTGAACAGGATGAGGACCCAAAGGTGGGGTAGGTAGACTCCCTCTGAAGCATAGTTGTGAGGTGCATGAGCAAACATATTTACCTCCACAGGGCTCCTTTAAGTCCCTCCCCCCACCCCTAACCCTGCAAAAACCTTCTAACAAAGAGATGTGCAGAGGGTGTGTAAAAGGAGAGAGGAAAGGTTCACACCAGGTACTTTACCATATCCAGGTTTACCTGGCTCTTGGGAAGAGAGCAGAAAATTATAAGTGTTTGCATTCAGAAATCCCCTAAGAGCCAGCCCCTCCACTTGGCTCCTGACCCCAGGGACCACTCCTGTTTCAACTTCTCAGGCAGAATTCATTTCAAGCAGAGGGAAAATCACTTCAGTTAGACACCTCCTCCACAGGCTGTATTACAGATCGCAATCTGTAAAGCGCTGATAATGACATCTGATAACTTTGGAGAATAAAGATAACGCAGGCAGCAGCCAGCAGGCAGCAGCCAGAAGCCAGTAGGGATGAGGCCTCCTAGGGCTGTCCCCAGGGCACTGAATATTAATAGCGTAATCTCTAGCCCTGAGCATTCACTATTTTCAGGAGAAGTTGGATCCCAGGTTCCTGATATTCCCCTTGTCTTCTTCCAGGTTCTCACGTGTACACCCTAAACGGAACCGACCCTGAGGGAGACCCTATCTCCTACCACATCAGCTTTGACCCCAGCACTAGAAGTGTCTTTTCTGTTGATCCCAGGTTTGGAAACATCACCCTGGTAGAAGAGCTGGACAGAGAGGTACAAAGACATGTGGGAGAAAATTGGGGCTACTGTTTGCTTATCATTCAGAAACCTCTGTGCTGATCTCTGTGGAAGAGGGGGTGAGGGAGGGGGTGACCCCCATACTACAGCTCTGCCCCTAGACTGCTTCACATTAGTGGAGATCCCTTTGTCCCTCCAGGGTGAATAGTGACAATCCTTCAGCGGCAGCTGTGAGTCTCGCTTTACCTTAAAGCACATTGAACCAACACACAGGCAAAACAAAATTTGTAGTTTGAAGTTTCTGAGAGCCCCGCCCCCATCAGAGTGGGTTTTTAAGCCTGATCTTGGAGGGTCCCACAAACCACAGGGACTTCTACAGGATAGGCTAGGGAGGGCCTGAGAGTGCATCTGGGTTTGGAAAACCTCTGATTCTGGATCTCTCTGATCTTCACTTTCCCTACATTACAGCCTCATCTGTAGGGCTACTGGTTCTGCAGCAAAAGCCACTTACTACAGATCAGCAGAGGGGTCAGGAGCAGGGCTGGGGGGATGACAACGTTCAGCACTGTGGTGAGGATTTTGTAGCAGAGGCAGAGTGCTGCCAGCACACCGCCCTATATGTAAACGGATCTGGTGTCATTCTAGAGATCCTACCAAGGCCTAGGGAACACCATGAACATGGACCATTGCCGAACTGCAGAAAGACATGGAGAGATAAGGGAGGGGAGAGGAAAAGAGAAATGAGGGAAACTCCTCTCTTGGATACACCAGGGTTGCTCTGTCGCCTTTCTCTAGCAGGACAACGTCTGTTGGGGACACAAGGGGACCCTATGGATCTGTGAGAACTCTGGGCACACAGAGCCCTCCCAAATAAGGTCTCAAGCCTAGCAAGGATCGCTTCATAGGCCTTGCACACTGTTGCCACCGTGTTCAGCTCCTGGGCTCCCTAAAACAGCCTTCTCTGATGGGGAGACAGCTTAGCACAGCCTCGAGTCTAAGCTGCTCTCAGCTTGTCACTCAATCCCTTTGCTTCACAGAAGGAAGATGAGATTGAAGCCATCATAAGTATTTCCGACGGCCTGAACCTGGTGAGTCAGTCTTCATTATACAGTGTTGCAGCCTGAAGGCAGGTGGCTTGGTCCCTCTACCAGCTGTGTGCCACTCTCCGATCTAACCAAGCCCAGGACAGTGAAGGCCTGCCCAAAGTGCCCATGTCTAAGGGGCACAGTGAGGCCATAGGTGAAGGAAGTAAAGCTATAAGCAGAGATCGAGTCTCCCAGCTTCGCTTCCCATGCCTCTCACCAACACCACACATCTCACACCTGTCTACTCATTGCCCATCTGCCAGCTGCCTCTGGCTCTTGGCCCGGCTGTGGCAGGTGTCCTCCCTCTTTTCACCTCCACTCCCGCAGCCACTACTTCCTGCCAGCAGCTTCAGCGCTGACACCATCACAACAGGCCCCAGGGGCTCCCTGACCACCCGATCTGCACCCAGAGTGCTGTCAAGGCTTTCTCTGTGAAACATGGATCTGGCCATTCTCCACTTGTGAAAGCACTGACAGCTGGCCCTCAGCCCCCTCAGGATGAAATCCAAGTTACCCTGCAGGACCTGCCTGTCAGGTGCCATCTGCCTCTTCCAAAGCCTCCATCCCCCCGCCACATCTACTGACAACCTTCAGCCTCTCTCCTTCTGTGCTCTGAATTCCTTTTGTGTCCATCTCCTGGCTCTGCACATTGACCCCCACCTTCCTGGCTCATTGCTGCCCCTTGCCTCTGGCAACCTCAGCACATTGATGCCTCTAGTCCCAGAGGTTCCCAGGTGTCCGCCACCACAATTCAGGACCCTTGCAGGACCTCTGGCTGCAGCAGTCAGCAGAAAGGACACACTGGAGAGAGGTCATGGGCATATACTGTCTCGAGGGTTCTATTTAGGGCATTGCTCTCAGGGCTTGTTTGTTATAATGCCATTCTAAACGTTATCTCTATGTGCTGATTTCTCCCCATACCTAAGCGACTGTGGTCCCTGAAGATGTCCCTTCAAATGTTCTTCTGTCTCTATGGTGAAAGAAAATGTTTGTCATCAGTGGGTTGCTTAACAATACTTGTTGCATGAATAAACAAAAGTGGGATGGAAAGGATGGAGAGAGAGATTGTAAAGACATACATCTTGGGGCATTAAAGGCCATCATTTTAACCTCTTAAGAAGGCCTTCCTGCAGCTGGGCATCGGTGGCACACGCCTTTAATCCTAGCACTGGGGAGGCAAAGGCAAGCGGATCTCTATGAGTTCGAGGCCAGCCTGGTCTACAGAGTGAGTTCCAGGACAGCCCCCAAAGCTACACAGAGAAAACCTGTCTCAAACTCCCCCACCCTTGCCCCCCTTCCCGCAAAAAAAGGTCTTCCTGCACCAAATCCTGGCTCTTCTATTTCTCAGGTGGCAGAGAAAGTCGTGATACTGGTGACAGATGCCAATGATGAGGCACCCAGGTTCACCCAGGAGCCTTACGTTGTCCTGGTCCCAGAGGTGAGTAAGGGACCCCAAGCAGGCACAAAGCTCCCACTTGGGCCCATGGTCTGACCCCAAGGCTGCCCCATTAGTTGTGCAGGAGACCAGAACCCTGAGTGTAGGACACCTGTCTGTTATTCACTGCACGTTTGTTATAATTGTAAATGCCTGCTTATTGTAGAAATGTTAAGTGCATTTTGAAGCCATTCTCACTCTCCTACTTTGTAACCTCAGACAATTTTGCTGTTTTCCCTTTTAATGTTTTTTTTTTTTTTTTATATGTGTGGTTACAGGATTTTTATCCTTTTTGTTTGACATAATTGTGATTCTAAAAATATTCTCTCTGTATCCTGGCCTTTTTTTTTTTTTCATTCATTACAACATAAGGATTCTGTTCCTTCATTGTCAAGCTTAGGTAATTAGTATCATTTTACTAGTTTCTATCAAGTAAATAGCCATCACATACAGATGGAACCCAAGAATTCCCTTGTGTCTGGATAATTAGGCTTTAAATTTCTACTGTCACAAGAAATATCCACCCTTAAGCACAGTTTTTAAAAATATTCATTTATTTATTGTATGTATATGTGTTCCATTTGTGTTGTGTGCACAGGCCAGAAGAAGGGGTCAAGTCTCCTAAAACTGGGGTTACAGATGGTTGTGAGCTGCCATGTGGGTGCTGAGAATTGAACCCAGGTCCTCTGGAAGAGCAGCCATCACTTATTTCTTATGTTACCAAAGTACTTTATTAAATGGTCACCTTGTTTGTTCTCCATCCTAATGTTTGCTAAGGGACAATGGATAGTTTAGTTGGAAAAGGCATTTGCCAACAAGCTTGACCTTCTGAGTTTGATCCCCAAGACCCACTAGATGGAAGGAACAATCGCCTCCTGCAGGTTGTCCTCTGACCCGCATACAGGTGGTTGTGGCATGTGTGAGAGTATATACACACACACACACACACCTCAAAAACATGTCTTCTAAGTCAGTGGTGGAAAATACTCCATTCTTGCTGTAAACGGTATATATGTATTATCTGATGATCCTGAATATGTCCATGTTTATAAGCTGTGGCTTTGTTTTTAAGTTAGTATTTCATATTTAAATCCTTTAGCTCTTAGGGGCGGAGGTTTTGCTTCCCATTTTCCTCTTTAGGACAGCCTCTCTCTTCTTGCCCCCCCCCCCCGCTCCTTTTCTTGTATCTGCTCCCTCAGCTCCCCTCTGTCCCTGTCCCTCTCCATTCTCTTGGGTGCTCTGTCATCACCTCCTCATCCCTCTTTATTCAGTCACCCTGCCGGTCCATCTGTTCCATGGCCCCATGTCTCTGCCTCCCCCACCATTTTGCTGTTGACATTGACCCTTCTCTGTCTGTGACCTCTCAGAATACACCTCCCGGGAGCAGCATCTTTAAGGTTCACGCAGAGGACAAGGACACAGGCTCTGGAGGGAGTGTCACCTACTTCCTACAGGTAAGATAGGACACGTAAGATGCAAGGAGGGCCTTGAGATGGACAGGACAGCTGGGTGTCCCCTTCTTCCATCCCCTGCTACCCGACACCCCATGCCTGTCAGTGTCTCTGGTCTCACAGGGATGAAGATCAGAATGACATAGAAGACCTCTTCCCCTATGAAACCCATCTTGGCTTCCTCTGAGTTGTCCACAGCCTTTCTCTTTAGGATTACAGAACCCTCAGCTCTCTACTTCCCCCACTGGGGCGGGAGGGGGACTGGACACATAGCACCTACACAGGATGCAATAAATTCATTTAGGATTGAAATGGCCAATAGGAAAAAGAGATGGGACTGTGCCAAATAAGAGAGCTGGGGTCCCCAGCACCCACTCTCTGTGATGTGTTGGCAAAAATGGGGTCTTCATCTCTGAACTGATGCTTTCTCCTGGTTCCCCAGGAGCCACTGTCCACCCTCACATTGCTTTTTTTGTAGCACATCCTATTCTTTCCATATTTGGTCACCTGCCCTCAGATTCTCAAGGCTATGTAGTAGCCTCATGGCTAAAACTACAAATTCTAGAGACGTCTTATGTACTCATAGGAACTAGAGAGTAACCCTTCCCCCACAAACACACACTAACCACTCATGCTCCTCCAGAACATTCCTTAGCTCTTCTCCAGAATGAGAAGCATCGATTATTCAACCATCCTAAGGATTAAACATGTGTAAAGCTCTGATTACAGCATCTGGAGCCTATTTCCAATCTTCCCCAACTGGAAGATCCCTGAACACCTTAACAGAGACAAGTGCTTTTACAGTCCATTCCTGGTCACTCACCATCTCCTGTCAGGCACTAATAGCCACCACAGCCATTTTTATCTGGTGTGGTTGAAAGATCCCCAGATCTCTCTCTTTTGCTAGTGCACTTAAGTCCCAGCCTCAACCAAGTCAGAGCACTCTGAATGGTTTTTTCCTGCTACAAGCCAGCAGGCTTTGCTGCAAGGCAGAGAGCTGGTTTTGCCTGAAGGTGTAAAAAGCCTGAGCATAACTTTTGTTGACGGAAAACCCTGAGTTCAGACAGGCAGTAGACTTGAACTTGGAATGTAAGCCTGGAAGCCAGTGTTTCTGGGATAAAAGTCAGGGAATGACTCCTTCAGTAGGCAGCATGAGAACTCCTGGCATGGCATGGTTGCTCCCTGGGTTCAGCTGCTCCTCCCAACTTTACAGAACCTACCCTCCTCCAAGTTTACCATGGACCGCCACAGTGGTGTGCTGCGTCTCCAGGCTGGAGCCACACTGGACTACGAGAAGTCAAGAGCTCATTTCATCACTGTGGTTGCCAAGGTAACAAAGGAAGATACAGGGGGAACATCCACTGGTAACTTCAGCCTTTGCTAGGGTGGGGCATGGTGAGGTCCTATGAAGGAGCCAGTATTTTCAAGAGCAGGGGACAAAATGTGTGGGGTGGGGGGCGAGGCAGGAGGCAGCTGCTTGCAATGTCTTCTGCCTGAACACATTTTCCAGGAAAGCTGGTATCTCTAGGGTGGAAGGGCCACATTTCCTTTTAGGGGATGTCATATGACTCCCTAGAAACTTAGAGTTAGGTCCCTTGATAGCAGGGGCATGACACAGAGATTTGTGCCCTTCTCACAACCTCCAGTGTCTCTATCTCTCTGGCCAGAATGGCTCATACTACTCTTCCTTGCTGTGTGACCAGCTACCCTCTCTGAACTCGGTTTCTTCAAGTGCCTGTTTCTGAAGCTGAATGAAGTTCCTCACTTCAGTTTGTGAAGCACGTGGTGGGAGGGGGAATCAGCAGGCACTCAGCCAAACCTCTTGCCCCAGGGAGAAGGAAAACCCAGTTGTCCCATCATGTTTACTGGGTCCTCACCCAGGAAGCCCTCTTTTAGACCACTGTTTGGCTGTAGGGCCACCCTCCTACACCCCGTACCAGGAGGCTGGATACCACTCTACCTTCTAGCTGCTCACATCCCTTACTCTTAAACAGAGGATGGCCCAAGTCATATTCCTGGGACTCCATAGGCATAGGCTGGATACACGAAAGTTTATTAGTAGTTGCTTGAGGTTTGGGTTTCCACCTAGACATAGGAACTTAGGCCCGATTCCTACTCCTCTGGCACTAATGACACATAATGGACCTGGAGAGTTTATCAATCCTGTATCCAAGAAACCTGTCAGACACCTGACTAAATGTCTCCATGTGTCATTTCTTTGGCATGCCCAACACCACTGAGGAAGGAGAATGGACTCCAGAGATAAGAACAAATAGACACCTGAGAGGGCCAGCTGGCTTCACAGGAGGTGGCAGGAGTCTATTCAAGTAGAGCCTGTCACCTTGAGGCCAGCTTGCCTTCACCCTCCTTCTCTGGCCCGATTCCTCCCCAGGATGGTGGGGGCAGGCTTCGAGGGGCTGATGTGGTATTCTCAGCCACCACCACAGTCACCATCAATGTAGAAGATGTTCAGGACACGGCCCCTATTTTCGTGGGCACACCCTACTATGGTTATGTGTATGAAGACACCCTTCCGGTGAGTGGCTGCATCACCTGCCCAGTGTTCCTTGTGTGACTCCCTGGGACTCCCTGGGATTCATGACACACTAGCCAGTCTTCCCTCTGGGATGATGGCAAGCTGTCAAATAAAAGGCCAAGAGTTCCAGGAAACTCTTGCTTTGATCCTGGGGCCAGGGAATGGCAAAGTTCTCGGGTAGTTCCTTCAGCCTTGGGAGGCCTGAGGCAGAGAGCCCTAAGCAGGTCACAGCAGGGTCACCTTCTGGAGCCACCCAAAGCCCAGTTCTTTTCCTGAGTGGGTTGATATCTCCTGTCCATGATGGGGCAGGGTTGGGTTAGGGAAGACACCCATATCTGAGCAGCCTCAGACAGCTGCTCCTCTCTCCAAGGGCTCAGAGGTGCTGACGGTGGTTGCCATTGATGGGGACCGAGGCAAACCCAACCACATCCTCTACAGGCTCTTGAATGGTAAGTGCAGGTGACGCCCTGCAACACCTCTGATTCTGTGCAACTGGATCCTGGTTTCCTCACCTTTGGGACCTGGAAGACAAGAAGCTGGGGGTGAAGGGAGGGCTAGTATCCTCAGATGACAACTTTGCCCTATGCTTACTTGTCATTATACCTAGTGAGAAAGAACTACAGGGTCCCGAGAGAAACATACACTCTCTTTACCCTGTACATAGTCACCAATGGCATGAGTAGCAATATTTCTCACATGCTCAGAATTTCTGTGTGTTTTTTTTTTTTTCTTCTTTTTTCGTTCTCATTCTTTTTCTTTTCTTTTTGAATGGGGCAGATAATTGAGTTCAATACAATGATGTTGTGGCATTTCCATAATACTTGACCTGTATGTAGAAAACCAAGGTTCAGGGGCCTGATAGGTATTGACTTCTTCTTGATTTTCATCTAAGTCAGATGACTATAGGATGTTCTACTATAACTGGACAGTAGCCAAGCAGGCCATAGTGTCCCTGGGATGGACTCCGTGGCCCTCAGGAGACCAGGTCAGCACACCTGAAGCCTGATTCTAGATGTACTTACATCTGTAGTGTACTACCCTTCCCCTGTGTATGCTGGTACACAGTCACCTTCCAGTTCAAGTGAAAACATGCCTGGGACCATCAAGAAATCACCCATGTGTGGGCCCCTCTTCCACCACCCCACCACCCCCTGTTATGGTACACCCAGCCCATGCTCCTCCTCACCTCTCCTTTAAACCCGCCAGCTTCTGCACCTTCTCCAAGCTCCTTTCTGTCCTTCTCTTCCCTCCTTCCATTCCCCTCTCTCCGTTTTTCTTTATCTCCCTCTCTCCTTATCTCTCTTTTTTTTCTTACACACACACACATTTATGTATCAGAAAAGGCACATGGACGGGTCCCGAGAACTGGAAAAAAATTCAAATCCAGATCTTTAGTGGCTGAGGGACCTTAGACCAGTTACTTGGTCCCTCTGAGACTCAGTTTCCTCACTGACAAGACACAGATGGTTGGCGGGATTAACGTTCTATGAGGAGCTCCCCACAACCATGAGATGCCATAGAAACATGTATGTGACAAAACTCCCATGTTGCCTCCTATGACCTTGTGCTAAACTGCGGGCCATTTTTCTATGACAGAAAGCGATGGAGTCTTTGAAATTAATGAGACATCTGGAGCCATCTCAGTCCTTCAGAGCCCTGCCCAGCTCCGGAGAGAGATGTATGAGCTTCACGTACAGGTGACACCCCAGTTGATTGACTTGTCCCATCCACTCTCCTGTCCCAGAGAGCAGCGAAAGTGTTGAGACCCAAGGGTTCAGTCTGGGGAGGGATTGAAATGTTACTTCAAGGAGCATATACATCAGGCTGCAGCAAATGCGAGAAATATGAGGTCACAAGCAGGGAGAATGCTGAGGGAGTGCCACATGAGGTCACAAGCAGGGTTACTGAGATTGCGGAGGGAGCGCCATTTCATGGGCTAGACTCTGGACTCAGTACAAATCAAGAAAGCCAGGTGTGTTCTAAGCAACAGTGAGCTAGCGACATGAGCACATGTGCTTGTTTTGCTCTTGACTGTGAATGTGGTGTTTCCAGCTGCCCCAGCCTCCTGCTTCTGTAACTTTCCAGCAGCCACTAACTGTCCCTGGAACAGTGAGCAGGAATAAGACCCTTTCTCTCCTAAGATACTTGAGTCAGGGTGTTCCGTGACAGCAACTGAAACAAACTAGGATAGCCATGCAGGGAGTGAGATACTCCCTGAGAGGGTGGTTGTGTCAGGAGAGGGGCTGTCGACGTCCGCAACTGCAGAGCATCAGAGGCTAAGGGTGAGGAGAACGTGGGGAGCAGCTGGAGGAAACAGCAGGGACTGGAGAAGTCAAGGAGAACTTACCAAGAACTGACTCGCATAACCAAGGGAGCTGAACCCTCTGACGCTAAGAAGGTAGCGCCAGATGCAGTGTGGAAGTCTGTGTGAAAATCTAATCGGGGATAGATGAGAACTGAGTGGGGTGGGAAAGACAGGAAAGCATGCAGAGGCTTCTAAGAAGGAGTGGGCCTACAGAAAGGTGTGGAACCGGGTCTGGGAGGTCCATTTTAGAGCAGCGGTTCTCAACCTGTGGGGCAGGACCCCCCAAAGACCATTGGAAAACACATATATTTACATTACAATTCATAACAGTAGCAAAATTACAGTTATGAAGTAGCAATGAAAATAATTCTATGGTTGAGGTCACCACAATATGAGGAACTGTACTTAGAGTGTCACAGCATTAGGAAGGTTGAGGACCACTGAACTAGGCATATTTTCAGAAGTAGAATATCTTTATCCAACACAGGAAGGAAGAGGACCTGGAAAATGAACACTTGTCACATGTTTCATGGGGGTGCATATGAATGTCCTGTCTTGACTTACAGCCTATATTAGTCAGCTAATGCTTCATGAAAAATCACCCCTAACTTAGTGGCCTAAAACAATGGGGAGTCTGGATTCAGCTTGACTGGGTCTTGAATTCCAAGGTCATTCACATAGCTGCAATCAGAGATAGGCAGGGCTGGGATCTCATTGGAGGCTTGGCTGCAGAAGGGCTGGCTTTACGGCTCATTTGGTTCTGGTATGACTCAGTTGCTCGCTGGCTGTTGCCCATGTGTTACTATTAGCTCCTTATCCCATAGCCTCTCTAGCATAGCTGCCTGCTTCACAGAAGCCTTGAGAAAGAGAAACACTGCTAGCAAAATGGATTATAATCTCTAGTAATCTAACCATGCTGCCAATCAAAAGTAAGTTGTTGGGTCAGGCTACGCTTAAAGAGAGGAATTACAAGGGTATGAACATAAGAAAGAAAAATTATTAGGACCAGAAACAGTCTTCAGGCCACACAGCCATAGCCATTTGTTTCCATCCTAGGTGACAGAGGTCAGCTCTCCAGGAAGCCCAGGTGCCATGGTCCCAGTCACTATCAGGATTGTGGACCTCAACAACCATCCTCCAACCTTCTATGGGGAGAGTGGGCCCCAGAACAAGTTCGAACTGTCCATCTATGAGCACCCACCACAGGGAGAGATACTTCGTGGACTCAAGATCACAGTCAACGACTCTGACCAGGTGTGTGGCCATGCCTTTGAAATTGACTGGGTCTGTGTCAGTGAGAGGCAAGTCACAAAATGAAGAAAAAAAATTGTGCAACTAAAAGGCATTGGAGGGATGGTAGTCAATCCCATACTATTTGCTTAGACATTAGCAGTCAGTTACAAAGTAAAAGGCAATCAAAGGAAAGGTCCTTATCTGACCTTCCGATTGCACAGAACCAGGCCATATTTATCTTTTACCTTGCTTAACTGTCATTCCCTGTTAAATCTGATTCTTAATCAACTCACCTTTATAGAGAAAGACTGCTCACTGCTTCAGGTTAAGGGCATGTAAGGGGTCCTCACCTAGCACAAATATATAATGTATTCCTATTCTTATATTCTCTTTCTTCTTTTCAAACTCTATTGTCCAGGGAGCCAATGCCAAATTCAACTTGCGGCTGGTGGGACCTGGAGGCATCTTCCGAGTGGTGCCACAGACCGTCCTGAATGAAGCCCAAGTCACCATCATAGTAGAGAACTCAGCCGCCATTGACTTTGAAAAGTCTAAGTTGTTAACCTTCAAGGTAGGTGGTGAATTGTACTGTCCTGATCTGGAATGTAGGGATGAGAGTAGGCTAGCTCACACTACTATCTAAATTCAATGTGGGGGGACCATTGTCATTTCCAGTCCTGAGTGCTTCTACTCTTTTTATTTTCCCCAGACTGTCTGTCTATCCTGTGGGCATGTGGACAGTAGGAGGTGGAGTGGAGGTGGGGGTAGGGGTAGGGATTATCCTCCCCCCCCCCCACACAGCATCTGCAAAGTGCTCATAGCCTCAACCTTACTGAGGTGCCAGCTCCTAAACCACCTTTGGCTGAGGAACGTAAGGGCACACTACCAATATAGTTTGCCGTGTTAGTAGAGGAAGAGAGAGAAACTGTGTGATTATCAAAATACAGGTTTTCCTCATGTGCCTTTGACACTTGTCATCTGTTCCAGTAACAAACTTAAAAGAAGGAAATATATTTTTATGTCATTTATAATTATGCAAAACTATGCATATGTATAAATAATGCCTGTCATGTTAACATATGAGTAATATATTAATTAAAAGGTACTTGGATAGTATTACTTCACTCATCATTAGTTATAATTTTGTATACACAGAGAGTATGTAGCCAGCATCATGATAAAAAGTGAGATACTAAAGGCTTTGTCTGAAGTTGAGAATAAAACTCCAATGCCTTCTATCACCAAAATGATTTAGCTCAGTGTTTGGACTGACATCATTCCAGATAGAGAGGAAATAAGAGCTGCCAAGTGTTAGGAATGAGGAGCTAAAAAGGAGTATTATTGTTTCCTTAGAAAAATCTAAACAGAAATGATTGAAAGGCTATCATAAACAAAGCAAAACCACAGCACAAAGTCAGCACTCTACACCCAACAGTTTTCTTACGGAGTGAGAGGGAGGGGTAGAGAATTTTGAAGGTAATGGAATAAAAGACACTTTTGCAAAAGTAATTAATACAATATCCTTAGGAATTACCCTAAAGAGAAATATGAAACACTGAAATGAAAATAAAAGTTTTCCCAGTGGGTTCTAAGGTAGGCAAGGCTAAGAAGGTGTTCCCGCTTTTAAAAATGCAAATCCTAGTTAAGTTGATGAAGACATTAATGCAATCCTACTTATTGCATGCTATTTTTGTTTGTTTTTGCTTTTGCTTTTAAGACAGAGCCTTGCCATATAGCCCAGGCTGACCTGGAGCTAACTGTGTAGCCCAAGATGACCTCTAATTCACAATCCTTCTGCCTCTGCCTCCTGACTACTGGCATAAGAGGTACGTGTCACTATGGCTAGTCAAGCCAAATTAACTCTGATATAGAATTTCCTTTGGAGAAAACTTGATAAAATTATACTGGTTTGTAGCTGGAGAAATCCACTTATAAGAATAGCTGGAAACTTGGATTAGGAAGGAATATGTAGATCCATAGCACAAGACAACAATGATAGCAATTCCAGGCCCGAGTACAAAAGGCAGTGATAAGCACATTAGCATTGCAGACTCACAAGGGAAGCATCATGAGGGACTGTGAAGATGGTAGCAGGGATAGGCCACCAGGGTCCAGAGTAAAAATGGGATGCACGTTGGGTGTGGTGGTGCATACCTGTAATTTTAGCACTCCAGAAGCTGAGGAGGGAAGACTGTCTGTTAAGGCTGGAGTATGTAGCAAGACCCCGACTCCAAAAAAATGCAACACAAAAGCAACAAAAGTTGGAGAGATGAGCACAAGGTTGCAAGACCAGGTCTGGGGGAATGGTGGTAGTGGGGATTCAGGGAGGGCAACTGCCCACTCACACAAGTGTGTTTCTCTATCTTTCTCCAGCTCCTGGCCATTGAAGTGAATACCCCAGAGAAGTTCAGTTCCACAGCAGACATCGTGATCCAGCTTCTGGACACCAATGATAATGTCCCCAAGTTCACCTCTCACTACTACATTGCCAGGATCCCAGAGAATGTTCCAGGGGGCTCCAATGTGGTGGCTGTCACAGTAGGTTGGGGACTGACTCACAAGGCCTACAGCCATTAGCTGTGATCTTTTTGTTTGTTTGTTTTGTTTTCCAAGACAGGGTTTCTTTGTGTAGCCTTGGCTGTCCTGGAACTCACAGAGATCCGCCTGCCTCTGCTCCCTGAGTGCTGAGATTAAAGGTGTGCACCACCACAGCCCAGCTGCTAGCTGTGACCTTAACAAGCTCCTTGCTTCTCTAAGTCATTGGTTCTTATCCTAACACTAGTCTGTATTTCCTTACTGTTATATAGCAGGGGCCACATGAGGAAAGGGTATTGTTCCATGACAGGACGTACAATCTCAAGGAGTATCTCCTTATCTTTGCTGTGTGTTGTACTAGCAGGCTACTTCCCGTTGTGTGCAAACCTCAAGCACAGGACCTGAAGCCCATTCCTCTGTCCCCTTATTTAGGAAAGAATAATAAACAGCTTCCAGGTATAAACCATTGTTGTTTTTTTCCTTTTTGCTCACATTTGACACCTCCCTGAAGAAAACTAGAGCACAGAGTAATCTCCAGGCTACTTCCTCCTCAGCTGGACACACCCTAGGCTCTGCAAGCTGCCTGCCATCAGCTATAGTAACTACCACTTGCCTCACCACAGTGCCGGTGCCATTAGGAGCTTTCTCTTTTTTTCCAGGCTGTGGATCCAGATACAGGACCGTGGGGCAAAGTCCAGTACTCCATTTATGGGACCGGGTCAGAACTGTAAGTAAATCCAGAACACCAGACAAACCAGTTTGGGTGAAGGGAGTCTCTACGTAAGCAGGAGGGACCAGTAAAAGAATAAGAGCTAGATTATGGCGGTGAGCTTCCCGGGATACAGGGTAGAGAGGGGCAAGGAATGGAAGGAAGCCATGGAGACAGAGCCTGAGGTAGAGATACAGGACAGGACACATTAGTGAGGTGACTGGAAAAGAAGGCTGTGGTCACAGCCTGGAGCATAGGTAGTGACCTCAGAAGGTACATGAACGGGGATAGGATGGGGTGGGGGTGACAGGCCAGGAGTAAGGAGGAGAGGCTGCAGTTTGGGTTGTTGACCACTGTAGTCAATGGTTGGATCTGCCTCCTGCAGTCAGATCATAAGAATGGGGGCAGGAGCAGGTGGGATGCTTGGAGAAGCTGCCCAGTGTCTCACTGAGGACTTTTGGATGAATCTTATTACTCTCTCTCTCTCTCTCTCTCTCTCTCTCTCTCTCTCTCTCTCTCTCTCTCCCTGTGTGTGTATGTGTGTGTGTGTGTGTGTGTATGTGTGTAGGTATGATTATGCATGTGCAAACATACATGAGCACCTATGCTTTCTGATTTCTGTGCCTGGTAGATTCTTGATTCACCCATCAACTGGGCTTATCTACACTCAGCCTTGGGCCAGCCTGGATGCTGAGGGCACTTCGAGGTATAACTTTTATGTGAAGGCCGAAGACATGGATGGGAGGTACAGCCTGGCTGAGGTGTTTGTCACTCTGTTGGATGTCAATGACCACTACCCCCAGTTTGTACAAAGCATCCAGGAGAAGACAATGGTGCTGGGAACCCCAGTGAAAATTGAGGTGGGTTTCAGAGGCATCTGAGCACCCCAAAGGGGCCATAGGAATTTAACTTAAAATAAATGTATCCTGCTAAGGGAACTAGGCTACATGGCACTATACACAGCTTCTTTTCCAGCCCAACCAGAAAGCTTCCCTAGGGAAGAAGACATCAGCAATGAAACGCATAAGGCTCGGAGGGCTTGAGTGCTGTGCTTACCTAAATGCATGTAACTGACCTGCCTGCTGTCAAAGCATGCTTTTCCAAAGCCCACTATCTTCTCAGTGCAGAAAAGACATTCATTCTGAATCCCAACAGACATGCTTTGAATACCAGGTAGCCCCCTTCCCCCTCATCTTGGACCAGTCACTTGGCATCCATACTTTCATCTTTGCATGTATAGTAAGGAGTCACCAACACCCACTCCACCAACACTGACCGCTCCAGACTCCATGCTGAGAGTGGAGAGCCACATAAAACCTGGTAGGGCCTAACATATGTAACATGAATTTATAAATGACCCAGAGACTGATATTGGGGTTCAAGCTTCAAGCCTAATTCTAGAAAAGCAAAGCAGCCAGCCACTAGTTCTCACTTCTAGCTCAGGCTTAAAGGGCTGATGCACGCACTAAGTTTCAAACTGCTGCCTCTCCTCAGTGTGTCAGGAGAATGAATGCCTCTCTGAGACCTCACTTCTGTCTTACATACTTCCCTCATGTTGGGATTAAAGGTGTGAGCTATAATTCCCTTTCAGACTGACTCACTCTTGTGTAGATCTGGGTGGCCTTGGACTCACAGAGATCCATCTACCTCTTAATCCTGAGTCTTGGGATTAAAGGTATGTACCACCACCTCTTAGCTTCTGGTTGCAGAGATTAAAGGTGTGTTATACCTCTGCCTTATCTCTACAGCTTGAAGATGACTTTGCTTTCTGAATTCTCAGGCAAGCTTTAATAAATCATAAATAACACATCACTACAAGCATAGACCATGGCTCAGAGTAGCACACACACATTCTCCTTCCCCAACTCTACCTACTCCAAATATGATCAATAGAATCAGAATCCTTTCCCATCAACCCAGGAAGTCCCACTTTATACACTGATTTAACCAATGTGCACAGGTATCTTCCTCATGTGATCTCACTCTCCTCCCTCTCTCTCTCTCCCCTCCTCTCTTTCTTTCCCTGCCCCTCCCCCCATGCCCAGGCTACAGACCAGGATGCAGAGGAGCCAAACAACTTGGTAGATTACTCCATCACCCGAGCAGAACCAGCCAATGTGTTTGACATTGATGCACACACGGGAGAGATCTGGCTCAAGAATTCCATCCGTTCCCTGGAGGCCCTACACAACATCACACCCAGTGGGGACTACTCATGGTCCCTACAGGTGCAGGCCAAGGACCGAGGCTCCCCCTCTTTCAGCACAACAGCCTTACTCAAGATAGACATCACTGACACAGAGGTGAGTACAGAGCTGTGGTCAGGAAGAGAGGCAGAGAGGGACCTGTGCCAAAGGGTACTGAGCAGTGTCAGGGATTTTCTTTGAAATCAAACCCATGGGCTTGGGAATCAAATTGAAAATTCTAGTTTCACTGTTAATTAGTGGTGTGACTCTAGGTTATCTAAGCCTCCATTACCTTTTCTGTGTTAGAAAGTAGAAATAAAAATTCTCAGCTCAGTGTCTGACAGGAATTCGTTAAATATGAGGTTCCTGGTTCATTTTGGTTTATGGTCCTCCCCATTAACCAAAGATAAGCAATATTCTGTTATTTCAAGGAAAGGTTCCAGCAAAGCAGGAGTTGAGAATCTGTGGTTGGTCTCAGTTTATTTTGACAGAGGTTCTCAAAGAGATGCCTTGGGGCAGGATGTTTAAACCTGTTTAGGAAAGCTCACACAGCCAATGTTCTCCAGGGAAAAGGAGGGAGCAGTTGAACGCAAGATGTGGTTTTCTCTTCCAGACGCTGTCCCGAGGCTCCATGGCTGCCTTCCTGATACAGACCAAGGACAATCCCATGAAAGCTGTGGGTGTGTTGGCTGGTGTCATGGCCATTGTTGTGGCTATAACGGTCCTCATCTCCACTGCCACCTTCTGGCGTAACAAGAAGTCCAACAAGATCCTGCCTGTGAGGCGTGTGCTCCGTAGAAGGCCCAGCCCTGCACCCCACACAGTTCGCATAGAGTGGCTCAAATTCAGGAGGGCCAAGGCTGCTAGCAAGTTCATTCTCAAAGAGGAACCCCCCAATGAGAACTGCAATAACAGCAGGGCAGGAGTCACAGTGCCCCCCAGAGCTCCAGCTCTCCCACCACCCACCAAAATGGCCCAACGGACAGTGCCTACTGTCTCTGGATCCCTCACCCCACAGCCATCCCAACAGTTACCCAAGCCCAAGCCCTTGGGAGGTCCCATTCAGTCCTCTCTGGTCTCAGAGCTCAAGCAAAAGTTTGAGAAGAAGAGTCTAGACAACAAGGCTTACTTCTAGAGTGTGTCCCATGATTCTTCTCTTCCCTTCCCCTAGTACTGACCCTCAAGGTCACCTCTGTTTTGTATAATATGTAACCCCATGTACAAGGCTCTGCAAAGTGCTTTGGGCAAAAGATTCCTCAGATGGAAGGCAGTTGACAAATACAGGCCCACTACCCAAATCTTTGGCACAGCTACAATTCTCTCTGCTCTTCAGGGACTAGAAGCCCACAAATAGTCAAGTCTGTGTGTTTCAAGTCACCAACTCTAGTTCCCATAGTCACTGGCATCCTATTGGAACCTTGTCATCCTTAGTTGGGAAATAGCACCCAGACCACAGGTGACAAAACTGGCAAGAATTTAGATCATGAAGCATCAGCTAACAGCATGATTGACATTTTGCCCTTAGCTAAAGCTGAAAGTCTGCAAGCTTTGTGCACTATGGGAAAGGGACAAATGCTCTGAAAACTCATGGTAACTATAAGGCTTGTGCCCCCAAACCAATGAACAATAGAACTGGTGTCTAGAAAAGACTGTTACAGACATGTTAAGTGTAAGGTGAGCTCTTCCAAGAGTGAGAGTAGATGTGTCCAGCTGGCCTCAAAGAGATAGGGCAAGGTGGTGGGTGGATATCACACCTGAGCTCAGTTTTGATGCAGCTTTCTTCAGATCACATGAGCTTAGAGATACTGTTTAAACTCTGTTGTCTTCTTCCTTGTCTGTAAAACAAAGCAAGCAAACCCTAAGAAAACACTGAGGGCTTCAAGTGCGGAGGCATGATTACAAAGTATTTGTCATATGCCAGTCCTCTGGCTACACTTCAGCAAGCAAGTATTAGCACCCTCAGCAACTCCACCAACTGTCCCCAGAAGGGGCTATGCTGAGATTGGGGACAACTACTGCTCTGGCAGTCTGAAAATGGCTTTCCCTGAACTCACAAACTTTCCTTCCATTCACCCCTCACCCTATGTAACTCACAAAGAACCAGAGTCAGGAAGTAATATCCAATCCAAGTCTGCTTGGCTGGCACAGAGAAATGAGTCTCCCAGAATGATTTGCTCCATGCACACAGTGGATCAAAAGCAGGAATCTAGTCTAAGAGCTCCTGCTCCATATCATTTTCCTTTAGTTGGGACAAATGTTGTTAGCATGTGATAATATTGCAAGAGAGAAATCCTGCAAACTGCCATGGTTAATACATGGAAGTTCTGTTGTTATTTGAGAAAACTCTGTAAGGAAATCTAGATACATACACTCTATGAAGCCCTCTAGAATTCTGTGGTTTCTTATGTGTTCAGATTGTATGAACATGCAGTTTTCTTGATGCCCCAGTCTGTGTTTTGAGGTGTTACACAGATGTGCTAGTATGAAGAATACTCACCTGGAGGTCTGCTGTCTCTGGCCCACACAGTATTGAGGGATGGACACTAGCAGTCCATCTGCACATTAAGAGTCCAGCCTGTAAGGCACTATCTAGCCCATGTTTCAGGAAAGTTTTGGGCTGGATTATGTTTGCTACCACAGGAAGCTCAACATCCTATAATATGCATGCAGTCAAGCTCTTTTGTAAATGGAAAATAAAATCTACTGTTTAAAGGGTAAACTGACCTCTTCTTGTATTATGTTACTGACTTGCGGTGAGCAATATTCCTGACTCATTCAGTGGGTAATGCTATTCATTACTTCCATTCTGAAACTGTTGTTTGCCTATATCTTAATTATAATACCTTTGCAGACCTTATCTGACCTGGACTTAAATTCTAGTTTTCTCAATCTAGTCTGGTCCAATCAGGATTGCTTTGAGGAAGAAATAGATATGAAGCATGAGCTAATGACCCCTAAAGCAGTCCAATGGGAGCAGGACTTGTATGGTCTCATGTGGGCATGACACCAGAAAAGCTGTTCATCTCTGGGAATATGGTAGTGAAGGCCTCTGGACTGGATGTTCTGTTCTAAACTCATTCTTAGGAGGAAGTTGGATTTGTAGACAAACTCAGGAACTTAAACCAAGGAGAACAAATCTTGGAAATGATCACAGAAGGGGAAAGGGCCTAGTAGCCAACATGAGCATACCATGAGAGAGAATAGAGCCAAACAAGACCATGCCCAGCACTGGAAGAGACCCTGTCAAGGCATGCAAGTCCTACATCATGAGGAAATAGCAAGCTGAAGGCAGCCTACTCTAACACACTGAGATAGACCCAGAACTACAGTCTGGCTTGACGATAGGTTTCCAAGTCAGTATGCAGGAAGGAGACAGGAACAGCAACTGGGAAAGGCATCAGCTTTCCAAAGCCTACAACTGGAACATTAACCTCATGCGCAATTGGTAGGGGTGATTTTAAATGATCTAAAGCCATTTTTCCATCCCTGTGAGCTTGGACTTATGTGTATGTGTGTGTCCATGTACACTGGGGTGGATACCCATGCACATGAAGATGTCAGAGGTCACTCTCAGAATGTCTCCTTCAATTACTGTCCACCTTGTGTATCAAAATAGGGTCTCTCACTTTTATCTGAAACTTGCCTATTCTGCGAGACAAGCTGGCCAGCAAGCTCTAGGGATCTTTCTATTGACCTGTGCCTACCTGGGATTATAAGCATGCTCCATAATGCCTGCCTGACTTTTTAAAAATTTGATTCTGGGAATCAAACTCAGATCCTCATGCTTACACAGCAAGCACTTTACTGGCAGAGCTGTCTCCCCAGCTCTCTAAGCTCAGACTTTCTAATTTTATGAAATAATAAGGTGTTTTGGCGCTTTGACAGTCTTAGGTGTGAGTGCAAAAAACCCAAAGCTGTCTGGGCCTCTCTTCTCTCATCAGCACAGGGTGCAAAGGCTTGTTTCTGTGAGGGCAGCAAGGGCTAATATATGCAAACACCTAGTGTCTGTCTGCTTCATAGCTACTGATAGAAGCTCAGTTGCTATTCTTAGTTGTATGGGACATTTGAGGATGGCTTGCTGTGGCCCACGTACAAGAGCATATGTCCTGGAGGAAAGGACCTTTGTTCACAGGATTACACACAGATAACCCACAGAGAAGGTGGAAAAAACTGGCAGAAAGCAGTAGATACCCTACAATCCAGCTGTAACTTGGAGCCTTTTGGCATCCTCATTCCAAGCAAGAACTGACAAGATGTCACTAAGAGAGTATGCGAGGCTTTGTCCTGCAGCTGCTGTCCTCCAGAGCCATGCTGGCAAATGTGGTAAAAAGTGGGGATGAGAAAACTCCTCACTTCTCAGCACACTCAAGGATTCTGTCTCCATAAATGAAGGTGCTTTGTTGTTGATATTTAGTTCTTTAGACAAGATCTTACTGTGCTGATCAAGCTAGTCTTGAACTCATGGGCTCTAATAGTCCTCTTGTCTCAGCTTTCCAAGTAGTTGAGGCTATAGACTCCATGCTTATCACAATGGGAGCTTTAGGAGAATCCAGACTCTGAAACCTGCCATGGGTGTTAGCATCAGTTGTCAAGCAATTGTTCTTCTCCCATGGTTTTCAAGACTCAAGTCATGGGGAAATGGACTGAGATAAGAAGATGCTATAAGAGGACTGAGGCTATACCTGGTATATGGAAGCACGGAGGTCCCTCTAGGAGGATCAGAAATGACTAAGGGCTGTGGGGAGACTCATTTTCCAGCATGACACAACAATGCGATTTTTTTTCTACCTTTAGTACAATAATGTTATAGTTAGAGTATCCATTGCTGCAATGAGACACTATGAATAAAAAGCAAGTTGGGGAGGAAAGGGGTTATTTGGCTTACACTTCCACATCACTGTTCATCATCAAAGCAAGTCAGGACAGGATCTCAAACAGGGAAGGAAACTGGAGGCAGGAGCTGATGCAGAGGCCATGGTGGGGTGCTACTTACTGGCTCACTCATTGTAGCTTGATCAGCCTGCTTTCTTATAGAACCCAGGACCACCAGCACAGGAATGGCATGACCCACAGTGGGCTGGGCCCTTCCCCATCAATCATTTATTAAGAAAATGCCCTAAGGCTTGCATCATATAAAGGCATTTTATTAATTGAGGGTTTCTCCTCTCAAATGACTTTAGCTTGTGTCAATTTAACATGAAACTATCCAGCACTAACACAGACTTTCCATTTAAAAAGGTTTATTTCTTCGTCTCTGAAGAAAAAAATAAGAACTTAAAGAGATGGAGATAAATCTCAATATCAGTGTTGTCATTAATTTTTAAACTGTTATTTGACATGCCATTGATTCTCAGAATATCACAATAAACACAGTGGTTGTAGTAAAGTCAGTCTCTGGCTCATTTGTAGAACAATGGGATTCATCCTCTGTAGACCAGTGCCCTGCCACCTGCTATATAGGTGATGGGCAAATCATTGACTTTTCTGAGATCAAATTATATTTACCCTTGGTAAAGAGTATTCTGTCACCCCTTTGCAGGATAATGTATACAGGATGGCCTATGTAAATGCTGTAGGGCTGTGTGTATACAAAGAGTAACATTTATTAATTTCTAGCCACTGACATGCATAATAAAATAACCAGATTAATAAGACAGAACTCTATTAGCTTTAGCTCTATGAAGATAAATACTGTGTTTCCTTTCTTATGTCTGAACTTTCTCCATCAAGTTTCTTGATTAGAGTACAGTGGATACTCAACAAATACTTGTTTGATAAATGGATGGAGCCAAGCTGTTCTGTCACGGAAATTTTGTTTCGGGGACTGGAGGTGTTGTGGGATATTTGTACACTGTGTGTATTGCTGTGATTTGTGTAATAAAAAGCTGAACAGCCAACAACTAGGCAGGAGGTATAGGTGAGACTTCCAGAGACAGAGAGAACTCTGGGAAGAAGAAAGGCAGAGTCACCAGCCAGACATGGAGAGGAGACATGGAAAAAGTGGGATGGGTGGTATGTGACAGAATGTAAATTAATAGAAATGGGTTAATTTAAGTTATAAGAGCTAGTTAAAACCCAGCCTAAGCTAAGGCCAAGTTTCCATAATTAATAGTAAGTCTCTGGGTCATTATTTGCAGACTGGTGACCCAAAGATAGCCTGATAAGAACCTTGTTACATAGAGATCCACCCGTTTCCAATCCATGGTGGGTTGTTAACTGTTACACTCCTTTTCTATCTCCTCAATCCCCTCCAAGACTCTGTGACCCTCACCATCTTCATGGGCAGCTGGAAGATCTTTGAAAGAGCTATCCTTGCACTGTGGTACTGCGTGGGGGCA